TACGTACATTGATACCCATTCAACTTGTGGCGTAGCAAGTCCTGAATGGTGTCATATCGTACCATAGTCATACGTCTCTATACAAGTTGATTTAGTCATACAGTTCAAAATAAGCTCAGATGAAAAGAACACGGTGCAGTTTGTTAGGACAATGGCAATGCACTCCCCTGAAGATAAGGGCATCTTACCTTGGGTGGCCGAGGGAACTTTCAATGGTTTCAATAATATTAGTTTAATCCCAAACAGCACGAGCAGTTGTTATTCGACTCTATCTCGGGACTAGTTTACCGTTGATTTCACAAACTATGTTTTTTGTTATTGTCATTGATGTTTAGAATGCTCAAAATGGTGTTTAGATATCACTTTATAGCTGGGATGGGCGCGGAAGTGAAAACTAGTCTGTGCCTCAGGTAGTTTTGGCGATTTGTAATGCACAATGACGTGTTTTTCTTTAATTCTGCTCCCATGTTGTACTACATTGTGTAGTTAGAGGCGATGTTCTCCAGTCACCAAAGTTAAAATGATACGACCATGGCCACTGAGCTACCTGTATCGGATTGTAACCAGGTTTAACTAGTATACCATGGGGGTTTTATTGAACACATGTTAGTATTGTGTGTCATTAAATTGCTCACAACTATTTCAGTTCGCAGTTTTCTCAGTGACCTTGACCAATAGAGACGTACACTATCATACATCGATTGTTGACATTCCGTGCTTTTTTTCGTCACTGACTCATTGTTGCAATTTATTCTTATTTAAATTTGAATGAATATATTTATTAAACTGGCCCCAATACAATGTAACTTTGCGATCATGTGCCATTTTATTATCTTTTCTATTAGTTTGATTTGATGATCAACGCTAACGAGAGTTTGACACTACTTTTAGTTACTACAAACACGGACGCCGATCAAATACTAACGGTTTAAAAAGAAATTGACAACATGACTGGCGCCACCCATTGGTAATCGACATGGAATCTAGATATTACACTGATGGAATGACGTTGCTCGAAACGTCTGAATATATTATACCTTAGCAAGGACTACAATTACCTACTAGCATTTTTATATCGATAATAATTATTCATAAGAACTAAAAGTCCAGCCATGTGCACAATTAAACATACGTCACTCGTAAAGTTTTGAGGTCAAAGCTTACATGACAAAAAGAAAAGAAAACTGTGGAGTACGAAGCTATGAGAGGGGAAATGCGCAAGCTCACCCAAACAGTCCATGTTATATGGATTCTTGCTCGCCGTGAGATTGGTGAATTCATTTTGTGATAAATGCGTCAAAGTTTATGCAGCTGGAATTACTTTCAGGTACATATAATTTGTAAGATGATAATCTTTCAAATGAATTTACGGCGCTACCCCAATTTTAACAACGTTCAAGTTGGCAAACAATTCCCAGAAATCAACTATTTTTCACAAAAACACTTGGTTATCCGAAACCTCACAAATGCTGCAAAGACTAACAATATCTTTGGTTGACAAAAAAAATGGATGGACATCTTCAATAGCCTGTGTTTTAGCATGCCCCAAATATTGCTTCCGGTGAGATGGTCAGACCGTATATGCGCCGTATATCAAAAACAAGGCCGTGGTACGCGTATCTGGGTACCATACGAGTATATGCACATCGCTGACAAATACTTCTACATTTTAGGCGGTAGGTGAATGGTCGAGATGAGACGGAGTGAGTAAAAGATATGATCATATTAGATTCCAATGGCCTCTTTATACCTACCGTGGTCACTAAATTTATAGTTAATATTGTTTTCATCCTAAAACTTATATCCCACAGAACACGTTTTATACTCCGTCTCTGTATGTTTATACTACCCCGACGATATGTTATCAGTACTTCCGGTACACGCAATGTTGCGTGAAATATACACTAATCCCTTTTTGTCATTTGTTCGGCAATTTATGAGCCATTTTCCTCCTTCAAAAATAAATAGCGATTTGTTTTAACAGGTTTTAGGTTGGTTTTCAAAAAAATAATTTCAGCTAAAGATAAAATGTAAATAACTTCATTACAGAGACACAATGATTCTATTTTTCGGCCCGGGTACTGTGATGATTTATTTTGCGACTTTATAATTTTCTATACTGGTGTGCGTATAGCTACTACACTTAGAGATGTAATGTAACTTTAGTGAGTGGGATTTACGCCACCGACTTCTAAATGTATCCAGTGAAATAAGGTGCAGTTCATTTCATCGAATGCCTATTTCGTCGAAAGTTGAATATATAATTATTTAAGAATCCAATTATCATCAAACGTGGCATTGATTGATGAAGATACCGCGTGCAATTGACGTAATACTCATCTATTTGGATATTCACTGGAATACATACTAAATATATGTGTTTCCTATGACGTAGCATTATAACACATGGGGTAAGTAAGATTTACACAAGATATCGCGGGCTGACATCCCTACACTGTATCGAAATACACTTGTATGACGGAGGTGTGGCATGTTCCGATAATAGGTAATATGTGCAGTGCACACCCGACACGTTAACCACATGGCTGCACCTCTCAAAAATACGGAAACTAGTACCCGAACACACACTAAGTCCGCCAATGTTCAATGATGCTCGGTGATCATTCCTGCCCCCCCCTTTTACAAGACATCATCGGGAATTCATTTTTTTTTGTCAGACCAAAATACGGAATTTGGTCTAACTTTTGTCACAGTCCAAAATTTATAACAAATGTTAGATATTTCAATAAAAAAGAACGTGAATCATGGTGTTATTGAAGTTATTAAAGAATTCGAGCCACACATATTATACCCGCCCCAATGTATAGCTGTCAAGTCCTAGTAAGGTAAGTGTGATGATAGAAAAAAAGAAAGAAATAATTTAATTCATAATTCCAGCAAACACGAGTTGCCCATAATAATTGTTGTTAATATGATTTGTACAATAAAACACGTTATAGGAGAAAACATAATTTGTGAGTCATTTGGTAGCAATACGTCATTTCTTTAATCCGCGCTTTCTGGTGACAGGGCGCTTCTCTGACATCAGCATGATGTACTAGTATACTAGTGACGGCGATGTCATTTAATTCGACCAGAAATAATTTTGCAGATCAAAACGATATCGACGGTTTAAGCAACCTTTGCAAAGTCAAAGGAGCGCTTTGTCGCTATAGGATGTGGTGTAGAATAGAAACGGTTATTCCATTGCCTAAAGTGACAGCCAGCAGCCGCCCCCGCCACCCCATGTAAGACATTAGAACTCACTTTGGATTAGCTGGACGAGATAAAGAGAACTCTGTTCAATGTAGTGGAATGTTTCCAAAGAATACAGTTTAAATTATGTATTCTATTAAACTAAAAAGAAACTATGTCAATCCTGTGCGTTTTAGACATTCATACAATTGTATACATACACATTTAGTAATACTATTCAAGTTTGAAAAAAAGCGTCAACAAAAACATTCCAATACATGTGTACGTAAAACATATTATAACTACCACCCTACCACGACTCCATTTTCAAATGGTCAAATGATTTCTTGTATGTGTGATTTAGTTGACTGACTTTTATTACGCACTCACATTGTACCCACCAACATAACTGGGGTTGTATTGGGTTATGGGTCACCATTAATTGGATACTCGGTGGCTCAAATCTGTAAAACTGATGGGAATGGGCGGCGCTACGAACTGAAGTCCGCTTCCGGGTATCTTTTGTGGGTTTTATATATTAGTACAAACTTCAAAACAATTGACTGTGTTTTTCTTTCACGTGTACATCTTTATACGACAAGGAACGATTTTGCTGGAGAAATAGATGTCACCTCGCTTTTACAAAATCAGATCAGTTTGTGTGTATGTGTATACCACATGTATTTATACTAAACAGGATCCGACCATACCGCACTGATATATGGGAGCTCAAATGGTTACGGAGTATGAATACACTCCTCGCAGGAATTACATTACCAAGAGGAACAATTATATAATTACAACAAAATATTCGGATCACTATCCGAATAGTGTAGCATTGTATATCATGTACTATAAGTATTATTGGCGGAATGGACGTGTTCAACAAAACATCTAAACCGAACAGCTATGAAAATTGTTGGATTTACAGACCAGTTAATTTTGTACACGCAAGCTTATGGTGGGAGGAAATAAAGTTCATTGTTTCGGGGAGTGTTTCCTTTTTAGGCAAGGGTCAGATAGAGTCTAGACAGGGGTGTGGCAGCTGCGTACGACTAGTCAACCGTTTTTCAAATTTTCATTCAACCAACTCTTACTTATTTGCATAAAGGCAGGTGTCACATGACAAAGGGTGTGAGAACACCTGCGTAATAGCGACAATGTTATTGTGTTATAAAAGAAAAGTTGATATGAAAAAAAATAAATATCCGATGTCTCGCCCCCTCGACGGAACGCACGACATTCACTAGCAAAATTTGTTTCACATTTATGTCAGAGATAAACATGTCCAGGGCGTGGTTGTATTCACTGGGGTGGAATGGGATGGAATGTGGCGTTGGTTACATTAACTGAATTGTATTGGTTTTATAGTGAACGAATTTTGGACAAATATGAAATATATAAAGTCGATTTCCGGTCACACCATTTTCTTCAGTCAGTTTTAATCCCCCCCCCCCAAATTCTCACTTCGCGGAGAAAAAAAGTAATGTACGAAAAAAGTAACTTCGGCAGCATATTATCTCTATGTGCTGCCTTTTAAGTCACACAAACACTTCTCGCGCGAATACCAGCCAATGGTCCGCATCATGGTGAAATATACTCACGAACGACGCGGTCCTGTACGTTATCTAATTATTACCAGTGATTCATTTGCAATATATCTTGGTATGCGCCTTGTCTAAAAAAAAAATCGCGGTCATATTGTTATGCTATACACGGGAACCACTCCCAACGAGCAAATGTACTTCAGAAGTATCGCCACTGGCTGTCCGACAATTCAATAGCGTTTTACATATCAATGAAGAAAACACCTCCCGGCAAGGGACGCCACGCATGTCGACGTCAATACTATTTGGTCTATTCGCAGTCAACGTTCGGAGCAGTTGAGATTCAAACCGCCACAAAGACCATAACCGTATTGGCATTTCTGCCGGTACTAACGTCGTGGCGACAAGGGAGAGAGGGAATATTGTTCTAACAACCTGGTAAGTTTATATTTTTCACATGTACGTAATCGAGGTGCTTTTCTTGAGTAGCTCTTCCGAACTCGCACACCATGCAGTATACATAATCTATGATGATATACATACGTATTGTATTAAGTCACGTGTCAGAATATTAAGCCATTATCTGTGTCATGTATTTGATTATGGAGCTGATATAAATATGAATATAAATGAAAATGAATGATATCATTGGATAAACATCATTGAGTGGTATATTGACCTCAAGCATTTCAGGGTCACGAGTTATAATGTATGCGGGTCATGTTTTATGCGCTATTTTAGTTGGCACTCACAAAGTTTAGACACTGCACTGCACAGGGTCGTTAAGTTGGTAATGTATGTCTTCGACTATGATGTGTATCTCAGTACAACAGTAGAACGTTTAATTTTGCATCGCTCGTACGCATTGGACTTTCGTTTTCAACTGAGTCGCCGCCGTGGTTCACACCAAAAACAGGTCGAAACAGCGGGAATGTCGAGGGTCATTACAAACGACCCATCTCTATCACGTTATGGAATTTAGCGACCTCACGCTGTCTTGGTACCTGGTTATTAGATGCGAATGGATTCTTTATTTTAGAAGACAAATAGTCTTTGTATTCAAAACATTCTCGCGTACACTGGTCGAGAATGCAATGTTTCAACACGTCATTGACGGGAGGACAGTGCGGAAAGATTTACAATCAGTATAAACCAATGAAGCATAAGGTGACGTCATTGACAGGTATTCACTGTTCATATAATTACTTGGTAGCGACACTATAACGATATCTGCTATGACAACTACATGCTTAGAAGCAAGTGATTGTCTATGTATTATTAGTATCTTTATTTCTTTGCTAGTAATGTCATCATTCCGACCAATTAACTAGGTGTCCATTCACGCATGCACGAGCATGTCGTCTTATCACTCGTTTGATATATTGAGAAACTCTTCGAGTGATATAGTACTGGCATACTGTAACAGAAGGGGAGAGGAATATATTGTTTTATTGCTTTCAGTGATTTAATCGAAAGATAAATTGTTTCAAACTGAAAACTTATAGGTAAATGGGTTGTCGTGTTAAAAAGGGCTCTTATATTGTTAGTATTGCGTCATGTTTACTACATTTCTGTGTATTTGGATGACCATATTCCTATATTCTGCGTCTAAATACGCGTGCGATATAATTACCTATTGTTATTTTTAGACCGGAAAACGGTCCGGAAGAATAAAAACATAAATCGGGAGTGGGGACATGTTGTTTGTTTACTGTTGCGATGGCGACCGGGTTACTCCTTTGTTTTTTGTTCCGATGAATTTCACTTTTTTTTCGTACACAATTGAGTGAGTCATGCTTCCGGTGGGACGGAGGGCGCAGTTTCTTTTTATATATAAAAGTGTGGCATATTACCAGTGCCATTTAATGAACTAGGTCCGTTCAGGTGAGTCAGTGACAATCTTATGTAAACACTCATTCGTGTATAATGCCCCACTTTACCTTACCTTCAGTAGACCTGGTTGGTCACCAGTACCAATATGACATTTTTTCTCGAATCTGCTTAAGGTATTTAAACACTATTCCTGTAGAAACCTTTTTTGCCAACGTGTTCACTGAAAAAGAAGTAAATGTACAAACACATCGTGCTCAGTTTAAAGCTTTTCTTTGATGGTGTCATTTTAACATACAGTTTCGGCCAAGTAGAGTAGTCGGGCTGTTTACAATGAAATCGCGTAACGGCATCGTGTTTTAGTGAGTAACGGATTACGTGTAATCAACACGGGCAGTCGAGTGTCTACATGTTAACCCTTCCATTCTTTACACGTAATTACCGCTGTTAATTCTAACTCGTATTAATTTAACCCATTGTAGAATACCGTTATATATATTATTATTATTTTATTCAGAAAAATGGTAAGATTTGGCTTTATTTTGAAATATTATTAAATTGCTAGGGGCTGTGGTGATAAAACCATACGAACTTGAAGTCATATATAATAACAATTTACAAACTTTTTAATTTTGTTGTTATATTTGCATGGTTGTATTTTGTACTCGGTTAGCAGCTCAATGTCCGAGTTTCACCTCCCCACGGATTCCAGTGCAAACGTTTATAACCCTCATTATTAAAGTGGACCAAACGCCATGGCAACCGTCTCTCGCTCCTATAATGGTATAGTGCAAGAGAAAAAACAAGGATCAACAATCAACTCGTGCTTTTTGCACTGATGATTGGAACCTACAAAATGCGGTTTCATTAAAAGCTATTGGACTATAACGGTAAACAATAGGAAAGGTAGTCACACCCGTGCAGTTTATCGAGGCAATATTTACTTCGGATGAACGACTAGTGCAACCGTTAAGCGTGTTTATTTTCTGACTTGACTATTTCACCGCTATTTTGTCACTCAGATATTTGGATTCAGTTTCCAATTTTCAGTGTATTCTACATCTGAGGACCTAGATTGCTGGTCAATACTTTTCTATATCCAATTTATAAATGTAGTTTAACATCACCCTCAAAATGAACGCATGTTAAATAAAACTGGTCTATGTTCCAGATCCATGCATATGCAAATACGTAGTTGCGTGGGTTCAAAACACATATAAAGGATATCATTGAACAAGTTGAACGTAATAGTTTTTAGGGGTGGACCATTTGAACTTTTGCTGGAGGGTAGTGTCATTGGTTATACTATGGAGTGATCTCTCCCCCCGTTTTTTTGGAAGGAATGCAAAGATTGCTTCTTCAGTTTTTACAATTAACAATACAAGCACGACAGCACAACCGACTATGCACGGTTACTTTTAGTAACCGTGGACTATGTATAAACATTTTAACAGTTTTAGAATTCTATCCCATAATTTCAAACCGCTCAACCATGTCAAATGTGGTTGTCTATTTCACACCACCCTTTGTACAAGTCATTAGGTTTTAAATCTATTTAGTTTATACAACTTACATCATTTATAGGGTATTGCATGTTCGGTTGCTACAACCGAAATAAATATTTATATCAACAACACGTGCTGTTATAGCAACTGATGATAAATTAAAATCTAAGTGTACTAGTTACATTCCCTTTCTTATCTGTGATTACTTTATACAACTTAAATGTACACATTTATGAATGATCAAAACTATTCCCCCAAATGATGCGAAATTATTCCCAGTGACCGACTTTTTGAAATACAAAGGACAATGTGAACTAGTTTCATTTTTTTTAAATAAACCTCAATTTTAAGTTTTTCAACAGTTTTTCCAATTCAAAATGGTGCCCACAAGAGGGTACATCGCTACGGGAATGTGATCGTTTACATGCTAACTGTCATCTGTTATGAACAATATTCAGTCAAATGCAATAGCAACTGCACTCTCGTAACTATGACGTTGTGAAAGAAGGAAATTGTTTATTTATACACCGATGATAGTAATCCTATGCATCCATTAAAATCGATGGTATCTATGTTAAACGAGACCATAATACGGCAATACTCTCTCACGTGATAGTCGATAGTCGCGCCAGTGTATTTTTTTTAAATGACTGTGCCAGGCGACAGTTACGGACATTGAGTGTCACTGTTGTCTCTCTTGACTGTATGTGCAAATTGCAAGTGCTAGTGACGACACATTGTGCATTTTGCCACAGAAGTCATATTCATGTTTGGGACTACATGACAGGGCTGTGTGGCCATCTCTCTATCAAATGGCAATTTGTAATGCGCTATCCTGGTGTCAACACACTCACCCGGTCGATCACAAGCACCTGCGGACCTTGACCAAGGTTCCCCCAAAGTCGCATTCGTTAGTGAATGAATCTCGGCCAGTGGAATTGGCCTGCCCATTGAGTCTGTGGCACACTCGCCCAGGGTAGAGGTCGACCCTTTGATGTTCAGCCTAATGTAGGATTTGAACTTGGGTCTACCGATCATGAGTCTGGTGCGACAACCACTATGCTACCATTGACCGATCGCCGAAGTAATATTTACAGAATTTGGGTTGAGTGAAAAATTCATCCGTTGAACACGTGCGTAAATAAAAACATTATGTTTAGTGCCTTTATTTTCTGACTTCGGAACGTATCGCTATTGTACCGACAATTTCACTCGGATACATATATTATGCTTCACTCTTGATACCCCACTGTAGCGTATTCTAAATCTGAAACGAATAATTTCTACGTCAAATTTATAAACGCAGTTTGAAACCACTATCAAAGTGGAAGTGTTAACGACAAATGGTGATTTGGAGTACATGCATATGCAAATACATGATGGAAGTTGCATGGTTTCAAAACATATAAACAACGTGAGGTAATTCCTGTCACTTATACATAATTTATAGTTGGCATTTAATTGTTAATACCAACAACACGTGTTGTTATAGCAACTAATGTTAAAGCTCAGATAACAAAGAAAAAGTTTTTGACTTTCCATAAATTATATAACTATATATAAGTATATATAACTAAATTGAAAATAATAACATTAGCAGATATACATAGTGATTGGACATACGTCTTATAGTATTGTGATTTGTTGATCCCCCGCTCTCTGGTACAGTTCATATTTACCAACTTATATGGATGAATACGACTCACTTAAATTTCTTGTGTGAATAAACCACCTTGATATTATATTACGAATATTCTTGATTTGATATTTATTTTTCAATGACAAACCCACAATACTACTCTCGAAGTCCAATGTTATTTGACAATTTAAAACCCTGCTCAAAATCTCTGTGTCTATGTTTGTACGTATCATTGGCTTTACAACGTGACTACAGAGCTGAGTCGATTCTGCTTTATTTGAAAAGATTTAGATTGATTTGTAATCTATGCACAGTGACTTTCCAATGAAAATCATGTAACTTAATGTTTGGAGTAATATTGTTTTGCAAAGAGCCAGATATTGCCAACAAAGGCAATGAAACACTTCATCTTCTCATAATTTGATTTTATCTGAATTTTTTCAGTAAAAACTTATAATCAATACTTTGATTTTCTATATAACGTATTCCAATTATTCTCTACTACCAAATATTGAATTTACTTAAATATTTTCTACAATGGATTACAAACCAATTGCTTCTGCCATTTTCAATGCATAGACGCATACATTTTAGAGTAAGCGACAATTCATTGAAATTGGGGACACAATAAAGGAAATCATAAAAAAAGACTGTCGACTCCATCGACAATCATCAATAGTACGTCAAACACCAAAGCCAAATGGATTACATTAGATTACTTGTAACTTTCCAATATACGTTATTTCCCAGGAATTACACATATTTTCCTGCTTTTTCAAATTCGGTTCCCAGTTTCATGCATTACATTTATCTTCGTCCGACGTAAACACCTAGAACATTAAATGGTTAAATAGCCTATTTTAAATAACCACTTTATGTTTCGACTTCCTGTGGCTACCAATCGGATTTTTCCCACTCCACCTTCAGTCCGGGCAAGCTCTCAAAACCCTTCATAATATTTAGAACTTTAACAACGGATTCATTGTTTTTAAACAAAAAATAATTGTATCATCTGTTGATGATTGTTGTATTTCTTAGTGCCTTTTATTTCTGGATAAATAATGTTTGTACCGAGGGAGCATCCATGTCGTACACCTCTTTCTAGATTTAAAAAAAGGTGTTATTGTTATATGTGTAATGAGGCATGCCAGGAGTTTCGTCTCAGAGGTCGTCTGATCTTCTTTTATAACTTTGACTATTTTACACAACTTAAATGTATACATCATTTAGGAATGCCCAAGACAATTACATTTTTTTCAAATGCTGCCAAGTTATTCCTGGCGACTGGCTTCTTGAAATCCAAAGAACACTTCTAACTATTTTGTCTGAAATATAAACCTCAGTTTTATGTATTTTAACCACTTTTCAAATTCAAAATTGTGCATGTGATGAGGTCACTGCTACGGGAAGTGATTGCTTGGATGATATCATGTTCTATTACGGTACTGTATTATGTTCGGTAAAAGTTAGACAGTCCGTTCTTAAAACCGTTAAAATATGAACATACACCCTCTAATTTAAAATAGACAAATACACGCACTTATACAAATTATTACGGCTAAGAGGTAGGTGGAATGAAGAGACAGAGCGCAACAGTCTGTTCGGGCCAAAAAAAAATAACTTGAATACAAAATAATTCCCATACATACTCTGTGTACAAGAACACCATGTCCAAGTACAACGTTGACAGAGTCCGAATTCTAAAAACACAGCGAAGCTTATTTCTAACATACTGAAAATGTGATTTGTAGCACAAATATTTCACAAACTTGCGTAGTACTCGTTCTAATGTGTCAGCGTGTGTTTTATTCCATGATGTACCATACGGCTGATGAACACTCTAATCTACTGCGAACAAGTCTCTAATGTTGCATATTCGAGGTGTTGATCCGAATGAAAATGTTAGCATTACAACCAAGCCGGAAAACTGAGTTTTCTTACTATAATATTCATATGATCTTCATAAGATAATGGATCATGGATAATCTATGCTAAAATACTTTCGTTCATTACATAATCTAATCTGGTTGGTAAATTATATCACATTATATTTGGCTGAATTTAATGAAAGTTTCCAATGATCGTATAACAAATAAATGTTGTGTATTGTGCCTGCAAATCTACGCAGTCTGAAATTGTTGACAGGCTTATACAATTAATGAAGGTCGCAGGCAAACATTGGCAAATCATAAATTATAAATCACAAAAAAACAAAATATGAGCCGAGAAAAGAGCCCTAAGACACTCCTGATTTAACTTGGTCTGCATAATAGTTGTAACGACTCATTGTTTGTAATCGGGTACTCTCGAAGTTAATTACACAACTCTTATTTTTTGTATATTTTATTTGCAGTGCTCATTGTGGACTGGAAACATGCATACCAAACGCATTACAACTCTCGTCATAGTAGTCTGTATTCTATTTGCTGTTACTGATGGAAGACCACGCAACTACTCTCGGATCAAACGGGATTTTGCTGATGCATTGTGGAGCAAAATGACGGAGAGGAACGAAGACTTCAAAACTCAAAACAACAAGCTGCCCACGGTCACGGATAAGGAGGTCAGCACCGAATTGGACGCAAAAGAAGAGACACTGCTCAACAACCTGGATGCATTAATCGACGAATTGCGTGAGGTCAATCAAATGACGCGGCAAGATGAGGATCTGCCTAATCGTCAGACCGACGATGACGATTATAACAAACAGGAAAGCGAATCTTCTCAAAGTGCCAATGTGACTGAATCGGACAGTTCATCGTGGTCGGGATTGGATATCAGTTCGTCAGAATTGGACGAGGTGTATTCCTTCCTCATACGTGTCACCAACGCCATCATTACCATCTTCATCATTACCATCTTCATCAATACCATCTGGTGATGATGACGATAATCAAGAATCCGAACAAAATATGGATAACAATTGGGATTCATTGTTGAAGTTAGTTCAATTATTACAACATGTAAGTATCGAAATACAAAATGACACGTCATTTGAATGACACTTTTACTACTTCATTCCCATGTGTTCAATGCATTCTTTCACAGAAAACTCCAATTCACGTGTACATTTTAATTATCGAACATCCTACGTACAGTCGATTGTATATACATATACATATAAGTCGTTATTCAGTTTTTTTACCGAAAGATCTTTTCTTGGTTCAAATATATAGCAATGTAATATCCCATGTCCCTTTATTTATCCCATCGTGCAAACTTATGGCCAAGTATTTCATGTTTACTTCAGGGTTATGGAAAAAAAGATGTATACCAGAAACCGCCACTAAATATGAGAAACGATGCTGACCTAGTTCCTCCAAATAAAACCCCGCCAAATATGAGAAACGATGCCGACCTGGCTCCTCCGAATAGAACCCCACCAAATATGAGAAACGATGAGGACCTGACTCCTCCGAATAGAACCCCGCCAAATATGAGAAACGATGCCGACCTAGCTCCTCCAAATAGAACCCCACCAAATATGAAAGATACTAGTTGGCATGGGCTCGAGGCTACAGACGATGCCGAAAATCCACTAAACGTTAGAGAACTTTATAAGTTGTTGTTGTCAGAAAAGGAACAAAGGCAAAGCTATAAACCACCCCCAAATATGAAAAACGAAGACGCCAGACCACCTCCAAATATGAAAAATGAAGACTCCAGACCACCCCCAAATATGAAAAACGAAAACTCCAGACCACCCCCAAATATGAAAAGCGAAAACTCCAGACCACCCCCAAATATGAAAGATACCAGTTGGCATGGGCACGAGGCTACAGACGATGCCGAAAATCCACTAAACGTTAGAGAACTTTATAATCTCTACAAGTTGTTGTTGTCGAAAAAAGAACAAATGGAAGACGCCAGACCACCCCCAAATATGAAAAACGCAGACGCCAGACCACCCCCAAATATGAAAAACGCAGACTCCAGACCACCCCCAAATATGAAAAACGCAGACTCCAGACCACCCCCAAATATGAAAAACGCAGACTCCAAACCAACCCCAAATATGAAAAACGCAGACGCCAGACCACCCCCAAATATGAAAAAGGCAGACTCCAGACCACTCCCAAATATGAAAAACGCAGACTCCAGACCACCCCCAAATATGAAAAATGAAGACTCCAGACCACCCCCAAATATGAAAAACGCAGACTCCAGACCACCCCCAAATATGAAAAACGCAGACTCCAGACCACCCCCAAATATGAAAGCCGAAGACTCCAGACCACCCCCAAATATGAAAGCTGAAGACTCCAGACCACCCCCAAATATGAAAAGCGAAGATACAAGTTGGTATAAGAACGAGGCCCTCAACGATGGCAAAATACCACCAAACGTGAGAGAACTTTATAAACTTTACAAATTGATCTTATCAGAAAAAGAACCAGGAAAAGACGACAGACCACCCCCAAACATGAGATCCGAGTAGACACAAAGATGTACGTCGCAACGAAAGCTGAAGGTACAGCACAACATTGGATAATATGCCTACAGTATCCAAAGAGGCCGGAGAACGGAGCTTTACCAATATATTCGTCGTATTCAGTATCAAAATAAATGACAAATGTGCTGCGGGACATAGTTAAAGTTCATATTTACAGTTTTAATGCTTTGCGTAGTTTGAATACATGTTAATTACATTATTGGTGGTCATTGCACATGAATCTACTGGGCGACCAGCTAACCAACTGCTCAGCCCGTTATTAGAACACCATGTGTAAACAATTCCCCCAGTTATAATAAACACACACGGTACACGGATTGCCGCGTCATATTTGTAAACGTTCACTTGACCTTGTCCAATAGAAAACATCGCACAGATTCGTAAGATTCGACAGCCTCGCACGAACCCTCCGATGTAACAATAACATTTTTGAGCTATACAGATACCCACCCACCCCCGTTATTGTTAGACCGCCACTAACAAATTTCAACTATTGCTCCGATTTATGCCTTACGATCACTGCCACGTAACGGCTTTGACGTCGCTTGTTTTAGTAACAAAATCACATTATTCTCATAATTTGAAATAACCGAAACATTTCTAACATACAGATATGTAAAATATAGTTATGCTTTCGATAATCTGTGACCATGTCACGTGATCTACTGCCGCCATGTTTTCCATAAATTGGACTTATTAAGTAAATCATACAAAATTTGCAAATGACAAAAGCATTGACACATTCCTTTTTTTCTAGGAATATTTCCAATTATGATATTTTGGAAGAAAATGAAATATCAGAATTTGTCATCCTTAAATATTCGGCACGAGTCTGGACAGTGTGCTATGACGGGAATGTGCTCATTGTGGTCACCTGTATTTAATTATATTACATTATTTATAAGAATATCGTATTTTACATCTCAAAGTTTGGAAACTGTTTTTTTTTTTACAATTGGCTGATTATATAAATAAATTTGCGGCGATATCCCAATATATCACGTGACTATTGTACCCTAACTTAATTTAATAATAATAACTGAAATGTGACGACTTCTAATTATCGACTAGCCATTTAAAAGTATTGATATTATAAAAAAGATTAGTTATTAATTATATTGTATGTGTAAACCAGTGTGCTAAAATTATCATTGTATTTTCGAAAAAGCTTGGAATGTATTTGATTTATAATTTTACAGTCAGTTCGAAATTTGTAATTGTGGGACGTGACGAAATTGGTGATATTGTACTTTGAGTATAATGTTGATTAGTTAATGATTGGAACAAATTGTTATAAACAAATCTACATGTTTTATTTAGTATAGTGTATTGACAAACTGACGCAACTTCAAAAGTCACGTGACAACAACAAATATTTAAAACATATGCCAGATTCTTACCTTGTAATGTTATGTAATTTTTTGTTGAAAAACTTAGTAACCCGGTAATTTTCATAAAAAGTGCTTTATTTAGAAAAACAACAACAACAACATAAATCTACTTTGTAATCAGGAAATGATTGACTAAATAAAGCAGTGGTCTACTGAATTATAATTGTATTTCTATATCATTTATTTATCCCGGATGTAGTATTCACATATCCCGGATGTTGGGCACGCATATATCTTGAACTGACTACAAAGTATGATGGTACCGGAAG